CACAATCGTTGTTATGCTTGAGCCCATTGTTGCAGCCACTGTGTCAATCCATCTCATTGAGGGTCTTCCTCTTTTTCACTGACCCTCTACTTTACCAAGTGTCTTAGTTATCTAGTGCTGCTATAACAGAAATACCACAAGTGGATGGCTTCAACAAACAGAAGTTTAGTTTTAGGCTAGAAGTTCAAATTCAGAGTGCCAGCTCGAAGGGAAGGCTTTCTCTCTCTGTCGGCTCTGGGGGAAGGTCCTTGTCATCAGTCTTCCCTGGCCGAGGAGTTTCTCAGCACAGGGACCCTGGGTCCAAAGGACGCACTATTCTCCTGGCTCTTGTTTCTTGGTAGTGTGAGGTCGCCCTGTCTCACTGCTCACTTCTCTCTTTTATATCTCAAAAGGGATTGACTCAAGACACAACCTAATCTTGTAGATTGAATCCTGCTTCATTAACATAGCTGCCGATAATCCTACCTCATTGACATCAGAGATAGGATTTCTAACACATAGGAAAATCGCATCAGATGACAAAATGGTGGACAATCACACAATACTGGGAATCATGGCCTAGTCAAGTTGACAGATATTTTTGGGGGACACAATGCAATCCATGACACCAAGCATGATGTCCTTCTCCAGGGACTGATCCCTCCTGATAACACGTCCAAAGTATGTGAGACGAAGTCTCACCATCTTCGCTTCTGAGGAGCACTCTGGCTGTACTTCTTACAAGACAGATTTGTTCGTTCTTCTGGCAGTCCATGGTGTGTTCAATATTCTTCGCCAACACCATAATTCAAAGGCATCAATTCTTCGGTCTTATTCATTGTCCAGCTTTCGCATGTATATCAGGCAATTGAAAACACCATGGCTTGGGTCAGGTGCACCTTAGTCCTTAAAGTGACACCTTTGCTTTTTAATTTTTAACACTTTAAAGAGGTCTTTTGCATCAGATTTGCCCAGTGCAATGCGTCGTTTGATTTCTTGAGTGCTGCTTCCATGGGCCTTGATTGTGGATCCAAGTCAAATGAAATCCTCGACAACTTCAGTCTTTTCTCCATTCATCATGATGTTGCTTATTGGTCCAGTTGTGAGGATCGTTGTTTTCTTTATGTTGAGGTGTAATCCATACTGAAGGCTATGGTCTTTGATCTTCATCAGTAAGTGCTTGAAGTTCTCTTCACTTTCAGCAAGCAGGGTTGTATCATCTGCATATCACAGGTTAATGAGTCTTCCACCAATCCTGATGCCCCATTCTTCTTCATATAGTCCAGCTTCTCAGATTTTTTGCTCAGCATATAGATTGAATAATGACCCTACAGGACAGTGTAGAACTGCCCCATGGGATTTCAAGACTGTAATCTTTATGGAAGCAGACTGCCACATCTGTCTCCCACGGAGAGGCTGGTGGGTTGGATCACCAACTTTTTGGTTCATCACCGAGCACTTAACTACTGCACCACCAGGGCTCCCATAGTAATCACATCAGCCATCACTCACGAGTGCCTGCGGTACAGGCCCCATGCTGAGTACCTTCCTCACAGTGCCTCCTTTAATTCCCACAACAAGCCAGGAAGCAGCTGTCATCCCCATGTTAAACCAGCTGCCTTTGCGTAGATTCTGACTCATAGCAACCCCATATGACATAGTAGAACTGCCCCCATAGGGTTTTCTAGACCATAATCTTTAGGGAAGCAGATGGCCATATCTTTCTCCCATGTAGCCACTGAGTGGGTTATATGGGGTCCTTGGGGATGGGGAGAATGCTCAGTGGAGAGGGTGCTGGGGTCCGAGAGGCAAGCAGAGCGGTGGGGAAGGGCAGAACCAGTCTGAGGGCAGGCAGGCCTAGGGTCAAGGATCGGGGCTCTGTATGCCTTTCTCCAGCCAGACTCCCAGGCCGGGAGCACAAAATGGAGAAGGCAGCCCAGAAGAAAGTACGGACCCTTCCCACTGGGTGGCAGTGGGCTCTGCCCAGCCTGCACCAAGGTGTCCAGAGGCTGGGGCAAGACCAGCAGACTTGCTGGGGCAGTTAGGGTGCCATGGAATGGATGTGGATAAACAGGAGCTCTTTGAGAAGTTGAGAAATTGGTGGGGGGAGTGGAAAGGCCACTAGGAGGAGGTCTGCTGAAGAGACTTGGGGTTTTAAACAAGAGAAAATAAGGCCCATGGGACACCCAAACAGGCTCGTCCAGGTGAGAAGAGAACACGTAGACCAGTAGGTGGAGGCCACCAGGAGACAGTGTTTTATTTTATTTTGTTTTTATTTTTATTTTATTATGGAAATTTTCAAACATACAGAAAAGGAGAGAAAACTTAATGAACGCTCATATTCCCATCAGAGTCTCTGGGTAGTGCAAACGGTTAAGTGCTTAGCTACATACCGAAAGGTTGGCAGTTCAAACCCACCAAGAGGCGCCATGGAAGAAAGCCCTGGCGATCTGCTTCTGAAAGGTCACAGCCATGAAAACCCTATAGAGCAGTTCTACTCTGCACACGTTGGGTCGCCATGAGTCGGAATCAACTTGACAGCAACGAGAAACAACAACAGCTTCATCTTGGCCCTCAACATTTTTTTTTTTTTGTCCTGGAGTATTTTAACACACATCTTAAAGGTGTCATTTTACCCATAAAATGCTTATCATCAGGTCCTTGCAGTATGCATCTTAGAGAAACAATCTCATTTCTTCTATAACTACATGCCATTACCATACATAAGGAATTCAAGATTTCGTTGATAGCCCTAACGCTCACTCCATTTTCATATCTTCCCAACTGGGGAGACAGACTCGGAGTCGTTGGTGGAGAGCTGAGCATCCCTGCTATTCTGTAGGAAGTGAGCACCCCGTCTCCAGAGGCATTCACGCACAGGGCAGACTACACCCACAGAAGCAGCAGAGCTTTACGGGAGAAGCTGTGGGGTCTGGACTCACAGACAGAGGTTCAAGTCCTGACTGCTGCTTGGGAACGAGGTGACCTTGGGCAAGGTATTTAACCTTGGTTTGCCCCTCTGTAAATGGTAGGAACAAAATTACCTGCCTCAGGCATATAAATAGCTGAGAAGCGGTAACCAGCAGGGTCAGGGTCTGTCCTGCCCAAGTTTCTGCAGTCCCTAGAGTGTCAGGGTTGAGTGCCGGGTAAGTGGGCAGGTCGGGAAAGTGGTTCTGACTGGGTTCTGGAGAAGAAGACTCAGGCCAGAGCTGGGAGGAGCGAGGGCGTCCACGGACCCCGTGAGCAGCCCACTCTCCCCCTCCAGGTTTTCCCAGATGGTTCAGGACAAACCCCTGCGCACGTCCTGGCAGCGGAAGATGAAGGAGCGGCAGGAGAGGAAGCTGGCCAAGGACTTTGCCCGGCACCTGGAAGAGGAGAAGGAGAGGCGCCGGCAGGTGAGGGGCCAGCTCTAGGGGGCCGAGGCTGGAGCTCCAGGGGCTAAGCTGGTGTCTGCTGTAACAGAGGGAAGGGGGACTCAAAAATGTGCCCAAGAGGAGCTTGGCTTGGCCGAGCCATTCTTGCGCCTGAGGGCCCACAGGGCACCTGGCCAGAAGCAGAAGTGCAATCTGAGAGCATGGGGTAGGGATGACAGGTGAAGCGGCCGGCTTAGCCTGGGCTATACGGAGGCCAAGGGACAGGGAGGAGGCCTGGGAGTGGAGCCCGGAAGGGTGACTGCCAGGTGCTGGCACCAGAGTGGAGATGCCCAGGAAGCAGCCCTGGCAGTCCTCGCTGGTGATTGGAGCGGTCTGTGAGATGGGGATCGAGGTCCCTTCCTTGGGACCCGCTTGGGCAGGAAGGCGTATGGATTGGAAAGCCGCATCCCCAGTATTGTTGCTGTTCTCCAAGAAGCGCAGACATCAGCGCAGTGACGGCCCCGCACCTTCCACCACCTCTCCCTGACTCCTATCCCAGGGCCAGGATGCCCCTTAGAGGTTCACATCCAGCGTCTCCAGTCTCCATGCAGCCCCCACCAAGGGCCACAGCTTCACCCACAGGAGCCAGGGACTGGTGGGGGAGAGGAGGGCACCCTGCAGGCTGCTTATGGAGAGCGAGAGGTGGTGGTGGTCAGCGTCTGCCTCCTGGGACCTCAGCCAGCAATCCCAGACCACAGGAGGAGTGCTGGACTGGGAGGCCCCGCCACTGTCACTCCATCATCCGTCCCTGCTTCAAGTCGCCCTGCTGGGCCTATGGCTAAGGCCATCTGGGCAGGGTGGCCGTCATCTTGTTCTGAGGCCTTATCTCACTTCCTGTGTGGCCCTGCTCCCTCTTGAGCGAGATGGAGCCTTCTCATCGTCCCCCTCAGGGGGCCCAGGTCTCACTTCTCCTTTCTCCCCAGGAGCCTAGGCCACCCCTGCTGCCCTGAGTTACCAACACCCAGAGAGGCCCCTGACCATGTGGCAGCCTCAAGGAGGGTTTGAGGGGCCACAGTCTGGGTGCACATGGATTTCCAAGTTGGGAGCCCCCACTTCTTAGCCCACCCAGTCCTGTCCTCAGCTGCCTGCCCAAGTGCCTACCTGCTAGGTGGGGTCAGGAATGTTCCACCATGGTGAGCCCCGGCGCCGGTCCTCCCCAGAGGTCCCAGGGCCTCTCCCCGTCCCAGGCCTCCACGCACACGCCCAGGAACAGCCTGGAGCCAGGAGAGGAGGGCCTTTCCCCTCCCCTCCTGGGAATTCCACCAGCTCTCCCTGCTCTGGGGCCTGAGAGACCAAGGCTCCCAGACTCAACCCTCTTTCCTCCGTGCCCTGCTCAGGAGAAGAAGCAGCGCCGGGCCGAGAACCTGAGGCGCCGCCTGGAGAATGAGCGGAAGGCAGAGGTTGTCCAAGTGGTGAGTGTCTCATTCCGCCCGTCCCCCACCCTTGTGCTGTAGTCCCAGGCTCTGCAGGGCGGTCTCCCCTTCCCCCCATTAATGCCCTCCCCTCACTCCACCCCCAGATCCGAAACCCTGCCAAGCTCAAGCGGGCAAAGAAGAAGCAACTACGCACCATTGAGAAGCGGGACACCCTGGTCCTGCTGCAGAAGCAGCTACCCCAGCGGCCAGCAGCCAAGAACTGACCGCAGAACAGCCTGAGACCTTCTGTGGCCACCCACCACGTGAGGTCAGACACCTCTTCTGGGCCCGGCATGCCAACTCTGCAGCTCCAGAACAGGCATCCCACCCCAGATGGGGCTCCTGAGCCTTCGGGGCCTTTTGGACAGGTTTTTGTAGGACAGAAGCTCAGAGGGGTCCTGGTAGAGACTGATGGGGGGAAGAGGTTCAGCTCCCCCTCTTCCTTCTGGTCCTTCTCCAAGTGCCTTCAAACCAAGAACAGTACATTCTTCTGGTTGCTTAGCAAGCTGGAGACCAAGGGTGACTCCCCCTAATGGGTATGTCCTGTCCCCCCACAGCTTCCCAAAGGCTGCTTTGGGTACCTCTGCATCCCACTGACCTTGTCACCCAGCAAGCTCAACACCCCCCCCCACTTTCAATACTGGAAGCTTAAAATGGGGAGACTGCAGGGAGCAGGGTTTCTCCCCAGCATGCTCCTTCCTGTGTCAGAGTCCACAGCAGCCCCAAAGATCTGATTAACTCATGCCCACCCATCTAGGACAAAATTATTTATTGAATGCCTGCTGTGAGTGGGCACAATTCCAGATACCGGGAGTCAGACAAAAGCCCCTGCCCTCAAGGTTCTTTCATTCTGATGGAGGAAAACAGATAATAAACCAGTAAAGTACATTGTATGTTGGGTGGCGAAACTGCTCTGGAGTAAGCAAAAGCAGGTTGGGGGTGGAGGGGGCATGGGGCAAGGTGTTAAGATGGGATGTCAGCTGTTCATCTGACTGTTCAGCTGGCCGAGTACTAGCCGTGGGCCAGGCACCGCCTGGCACTAGGCCTGGAAGTAAACAATGGGCTAGCCAGTCCAGCTTTTGGGGGCCCCAGCCTGGGGGCGGCAGAAGGGGCACCAGACCCAGATCCCAAGGGAAACCAGTGTTTCTCATCCCAGCTCTTCACTAATGTTCCACCCACTGAACACTTACTGACCAGTCCCAGGGATGCAGAGCTGAAAACCAGCCGTCTCTGTCCCCAGGTCCGCGGTGGATCGAGGAAATAGGGAGTGGACAAATGTCATGGTGCAGTGGGAGGTGCTATGCTAGAAGGAGGTACCAGGGACCCTCTCACCTACAAGCTGGGAGTGACGGCTGCGCTTCCCAGCCCCGGCATGGTTGGGAGGTGGGCACTGCAAAGATCTTGCAATTCCCAGCATTTGCCCAGGGGCACCCCACAGAACACCAGGCCTACCCAGGGCTCAGGATATGAGGTCAGATGAGCTAGGAAATGCCCCGTGCTGTGGTCTCGGAGGCGGCAGGGCACGTTCAAGTACTGAAGACAAGATCTTCAGTAGCAGCCCATCAGACTGATTGATTAGCCCGGTGTTTCCCAAACATTAAACCATGGTACCCTCTTGTTTCTGCTGTATAAACACTTTGGGCAGTGCTGGATGAGAAAATCAGAGACGAGGGCCCCAAGTCAGCTACTAGCTTAAGTACCTTGGGTAAGTCAGAGGGTGTTCTTTCACTTAACAAGTATGTATTGAGCATCCAAAGGTTAGAGGTTAGAGTGCAGACTCCCTCACTAGCCATGAAACTGGGCAAGTTACTTTATCTCCCTGTGTCTCTGTTTCCTCCTCTGTAAAAATTGGGACCAATAGTACCTGCCTCCTAAGAGTGGGATAAAGCTCAATAAACGTTGACTGAAGTGAAGGTTAGACTGGAACCGTATTTCTCAGACCTTTCTTCTCCAAAAATGCATTACTGGTTGAATGTAAAAATAACCTCCTTCCCCAGTCACCGGAAACACTGAACTCCAGGGAACTGCGTCCCCAGTGCCCTTGGGTGTCCACTGTCCTAGCTTGAGAGAAGTCTGTTATGATTTTAACTCCGTGTGACTCCAAGTGTGGTCCACGGACCAGCTGCCGTGATCTCCTGGGGGAGCTTGTTAGAAACGCAAAATCTCGGCATCCCACCACCCCACCCAGCCTGCTGAATCTGAGTCTGGGCTTTAACAAGCTAGGAAGGTGAGCTGTGGGCATATCAAAGTTCTCGAAGCGCTGCAGTGACTCGCTTTGTTTCTTATTGCATCGTCTGGTACGCTTAAAAATGCAGATTCCTGGGTCCTGTCCCTCCAACTACCCTTTAGGGTCTCTCAGGCTGGAGTCCCGACATCTGCATCTGAATGGCGTGCGCTCATGAGGCTTTTGTGCACAGTGTCCGCAGCTCGGCCGGCCGTCCGGGAAGAATCGGGGTACCCTCCTAACTGGAAGCAATCATGGGCTCCGAGCTCTGCGGGCCCCTCTCATCCTGGGAGCGCGCCCGGCCCCGGGGCGGGGACACGCCGCGCTCACCCTGCAGGCAGCCGAGGAGGCGCAGAGGCCCACGCTGGGACAGGCGGCAGGCGCCCGGCGAGCAGGCAGCGGAGGAAGCTCGGCGGCGGCGGCTGCTGCCCAAGCTGCCCAGCTCGCTGTCGTCCACCAACACGCTCTCGAGCACGCTGCGCAGCGAGCGCCGCAGCTTGTGCAGCACGTCAGGGCAGGTGAGCACGTACAGCAGCGGGTTGATCACGCTGTTGATGAAGGCCAGGCTACTGACGAAGGGCAGCCCGCGCATCACGAGGGGCCGCAACGACGCGTTGGCGTGCGCGCGCGCCTCCAGCAGGCTGAAGACGTGGTAGGGCCCCCAGCAGAGCGCGAAGGCCGCCACCACGGCGGCCACCAGGCGCACGAAGCGGCTGGACCGCCGTCGGCCGCGGTGGCGGAGCTGCACACTTACGGTCGCGTGGCTCGAGGCGATTATGGCCAGCGGCACTAGGAAGGCCAGCAGGAACTTGCTGATGGCCAGGGCCGCTTGGCGCGAGTTGCACGTGGCATCGCGGTCGGACCCGGGACTCAGGAGCAGCACGTTGTAGTAGCACATGATGCGCCCGTCCCGCCTTGGGATGGTGTCCCGGAACAGGAAGTAGGGCACAGTGTTGAGCACAGCCAGGGCCCAGAGCCCCAGGCAGACTTTGTGAGCTGCGGCTACCGTGCGATGATTCTGTGCCCACACGGGCCGGACCACCTGCAGACAGCGGTCCAGGCTGATGGCGCTGAGCAGGAAGCCGCTGGCGAACATGTTGAGGAAGAAGATGGAGGAGTGCAGCTTGCACAAGGTGGTGCCCAGCTCCCACGTGTGGCCCACAGCCAAGAAGTAGGTGAAGAAGGGCAGGGAGGCGGTGGCCAGCAGGTCGGACAGCGCCAGGTGCAGCACCCACGTGGTGACCACGGTCTGGCGCATGCGGCAGCCCACTACGAAGAGGATCAGTCCGTTCTCCACCAGGCCCAGCAGGCTGGCCACGGCGTGCACCAGCACCGACACGTAGTCGATGTAGCGGATGCTGGAGTTGCTGTGGCTCTGGAGCTGGGTCATCTGCTCCAGGAGGGGACAGAGCGGCTTCGTGGTGTTGGTTGCCATCGCGGGATTCCGCCCTGGGGAGGCGGCGCTGAGGTTGGCAGTGCAGGGGACCCTGGAGACAGGGCTGGGCTGGGAGCCAGGAGAGGTGAATCTGACCTATGCAGGTTACAGATGAGTCAGCAGGGGATCCGTGAAGCGGGGAAAGGCAGTGAGGTGGGGGCAGTGACATCCCAGCACCACCCCCTGCCCACTGTGCAGCCTCAGGCAGGCATTTAACCTTCCTGATCCTGTCTCTTTGTGGGTAGCATGGGTTGAGTCATAGCGTACCTAGCTCATTAGAGTTCTTGGAAGAATTAAATGGATTAATAAATAAAAAGGAACACTAGTGGCACAGTGGTTAAAGCACTTCGGCTGTTAACCGAAAGGTCAGGGGTTCGAACCCATCAGCTGCTCTGAGGGAGAAAGATGTGACAGTCTGCTTCCATAAAGATTACAGCCTAGGAAACCCTATGGGGCAGTTCTACTCTGTCCTATAAGGTCACTATGAATCAGAATTGACTCGCCAGCAACAGGTATAATACAGAAAAAGCATTCAGAACAGGGCCTGGCACATCTTAACAAAAAAGAAAAAACCAAACCCATTGCCATCCAGTTGATTCTGACTCATGGTGACCACAAGTGTTACAGAGTAGAACTGTACTCCATAGGGTTTTCTTGGAAGCAGATTGCCAGGCCTTTCTTCTTTGGTGCCCCTGGGTGGGTTCGAACCACCAACCTATAGGTTAGTTGATGTTAGGTGCTGTCGAGTCGATTTCGACTCATTGCAACCCCAAGTGACAGAGTAGAACTTCCCCGTAGGGTTTTCTAGGCTGTAATCTTTACAGGAGCAGATGGCCAGGTCTTTCTCCCTTGAAGCCAGTAGGTAAGTTTGAACTGCCAACCTTTCAGTCAGCAGCCTAGCACTCAGCAGTTGCGCCACCAGGGCTTAGGAGTCAAGTGCGTATCATTAGGTGCTAACACCTGTCCATGATTATCATTAAGCAGATAGCTCAAGTGTACAAGGAGAAGTAGGAAGGAGATCAACCATCCTGGAGCACTGGGAGATGAGCAAGACTCATGATAAGGGATAGGAGGGTTCAGCTGGTCTGGGGGGTAGGGGGAGAGGATTCTATGCCTTTAGGGTGCCACCCCTCCCCCCAACACCCCTAGATCTTACCTGTGTGCAGCTCCTCAGTGCGGCCCCTGGCTCCTGCATTGGTGGCTGGCTGGGTGTGTTGACTGTGCAAGGTGGAGCCAGCCCCTCCTCTGAGAGCTGGAGAGGAAATAAGATAAGAGCCGGGGGAGGGGGAGGGCTGGGCAGGAGGAACTGCCAGATTGGGGCTGTGGAGGCCCAGTGGGGCTCCCCCCTGTCCAGAGGCAGCCATAGCCACCCTGCCTGCCTCAACTGACAAGGGGCCAGGAAACCCACCCCTGTTGATTCATTTATTCACTATCTCATTCAAAGCATATATTTGTTGAACAACGACTCGGTTGGTTGCTGGAGAAAGCATCTGGCAGGCGTGCAGACAGACACCCCAGGTGTGCATGCCCACAGCCGGACCAAGAACCCGAGAGACCATTGGACCTGAAGCTGGGTGAAAGCTGAGGAAATCGGGGTGGGGGCTCCCTGCAGGAGGGAGGGGAGGGACAGCTGGCATGGGCACCCAGGACACACCAGGGACTGTGGTAGGTCCTTTACATAGCTTCCGTCTCTCATGGTTCCAGGAAGAAGGTGCTAGTACTGCTCTCTACCTCCATTTTACAGATGAAGAAACTGAGACTCAAGAATTGAATTTGCTCAAAGCCATCCAAACAAAACAAACATGTAGAAGATCACCAGTTCTGGGACAGTTCTACTCTGCCCTATAGGGTCGCTGTGGGTCGGAACTGACTTGATGGCAACGGGTTTGATTTTGGGTTTTTGTTTTCGTTTTTGTGATCTTTCCTCTGCTCAAAACAAGAGAGGATGGTGTGAGTCTTCAGTACTGTCGTTCCAGGACATACACAGCTGGCCAGGATGAGAAAATCATCACCCTTCCAAGGACTGCAGTCCTTTCTAGAGCAGGCTCCTGAGATACCAAATCAGAATTTTCCTGGCAAGTGAGCCCATTGGAGCTGGCAGTCTGGAGGTAGACTGGAGGGGAGCAGTTGGGCCTGCGTGCCCCAAGAATGGTCACGCTTCCTACGCTTTAGAGTTTGCAGAGCAATTTCACTCACAATAACCTTATGAGAGCCCATTTTTGAGATGGGGAAACTGAGGTTTGGAGAGGCACAACCACTTTCCCAGTGTTCCCCGGTTGCAAGGGTGGAACTAGGACTCCAGTCCCAGCAGACAGGTGAGTGCCAACCCCTCTCTGCATTGAAGTATTCCCAGGTCCCAGGGGGACACTCGGAGAGCACAGTCCTGCTGTGTCCCCTGGGAACCATCTAACTCAGTCCCTCTGGCTGCGTGGAGATGGTCCCCAAGTCCCCAGGACTCTCAGGGAGCCAGCAGCTAGAACCCTGTTTCAACAAGGGGCTAGAGTCAGAGACCTGGGTTTGAATCCCAGCCCCTCTGCTTCCTGGCACTTGAACTTGGGTCAGTTACCCTAGCTAAGCCTGTGGTGTAATCCTCCCACCCAGATTGCCTGTGAATATTGAAAGAGAAGGCCTAATGGTCCACGATTGTGCCTGGCATCTAGCTAATGCCTAAGATAATATCATCTTCCCTCCTCCAGGCATTGGGTTCCCTCTAGTCTTTGGGAAACTCAACCCTCTGCAGTCCCTCTCTCCCAGTAAAACTGTGTCTTCTCTCCGTGGGCCCAGAGAGGACCAAGACGGCCCACCCCTGGGCCACAGCCTTCCTTACCTGAGCATCAAAGGAGCGCTGGGTCCCAGCCTGCGGGCAGTCAGCCCCTAAAGCCACAGGACTGCAGGCAGCAGGCAGGCAGAGGCCAGGCAGCAAGGCTGAGGGAGAAGTGGCTGTCAGCCAGTGTGTGCATGCTTGTGTGTGTGTGTGTTTGGAGGCGGGGGGAGAGGCGGGGACAGCCAGAGAGTTGGTTGTCACACCAGCATTGCATCAACAAGAAAGGGAGATAGCCTCGGACAGCCCTGCCCACCGCACTCACCCTTCATGAAGGGACTTTGCAGAAGTCCAGGGGTCAGTGCAAGCACACGAGGAGCAATAGGTGGGTGTGTGTGCAAGAAAGCGTGAGCCCGAGTATGCGTAGGGGTGACCAGTATGTAAGTCATGTGCATCCATCCACTGTCCCTCATAATCCTCAGAGGAGAAATTCCCACACTCTTCTGAGGCCCCCAGGCAGTGTGGGTGCCTGTCCGTGAGGGGCCCCAAGGAAGGCTTGGGGGCCGTGGGAAGAACACAAAAGACCTGGCTGCCGGTCCTGCCCCTGCACCCCTCGCAGGTGGTAAGTGACTGCCCCTTGCTGAGCAGCTGTGATTGGGAGCAATAATGTCCGCCTCACAGACTGTGACAAGGGTTATAGAAAGTGGCTGGCACACAGTAGGTGCTCAGTAAGTACCAGCTTCTTTTCCCTCTGGGGGGAAAACTGGTGTGGGCTGTAGGGAAAGGTCTCTACAGCTTTTATTTAAAATGTGTTCAAAGCCCTAGAATAAGATGATTGAACTATGTTTGCACTTACTTGTTCTCTCTTTACTCTTGTGTGCTATCCAAACTTCCTGACCTCAGGGACCTTCAGTCTCTTATTAAGGGGAGTAAATGAATAATTTCTTTTAGAAGGATCAGCACAAATCTGGTTCCTATGAAGTGGGGGTCAAAGTTGTCCCAAATGTCCAACTTTTCCAAACTGCTGTCCCACTCCATCATCTCTAACATGAACTACTCCTCCTCGCCTCAGTACTGTCCCTCCTGCCTTTGGGTTTCGTAATTCACTGCAGTGTCTCACAGAACTCACAGCCATATCGAGGAGATGGCTCACGTAGTTGTGGAGGCTGGTGAGTCCAAAATCTAGGGGTCCGGCGTAGGCTGCTCCTGACCCACATGGCTGCAGAGGCTGACAAACCCAAACCGGCAGTCAGACCACCGGCTGCTGGCTCACAAGGCAAAGGAATCTGGTGAATCAGATCAGACAATAGGCCGCCAGCCCACGGGGCTGTGGAGGCCGGTGAATCCCAGAATCAACAGGTCAGATGGCAGGCCTCTGGCTCAAGTGCCAAGAACCAGAGGTTAGACAATCATGAATTGGACATGGGATCCAAATGCAGAGAGAAAGAGCCTCACTAGAGTATCCATATATATAAACCTTGGACACAGGCCACACCCCAGGAATGGGCATAACTTGAGTAAGGGTGAGACTTGAGTCATGCCCGCCTGCAAGGCTGTGACTCAAGATCTGCCCCACACCAATCCTGCCTCATTAACATGTAGAGGTTAGGATTTACAATATATAAAATGGAGGACAACCATACAATACTGGGAATCATGGCCTAGCCAAGTTGACACGTAATCTCAACCATCACAGGTTCCATATACCTTACTTGCGTAGTCCTACTCAGTGGTTGTGTGTGAGTCACAAAGACCATGGCTAGAAGGGCCATATTAAGTAATTTGTTGCACTGTAGGAGGCATGTTATGATCTTCCCCTCTTTTCCTTCCCTCCCTTCCCCCTTACTCACTGGGAAGACTATCTTTGATAACTCAGACTCTCGCCTGACCTCTGAGGAGACTGCAATCATGACCAGACCAGTTCCAGAGCTTTCTGCAATGCAAACTTTATAGAAAGAGGGAAGACCAGTTGCCATCGGGTCAACTCCAACTCATGGTGACCCCATGTGTGTCAGAGTAGAACTGCGCTCCATAGAGTTTTCAGTGGCTGATTTTTTGGAAGTAGATCTCCAGGACTTTCTTCGGAGGTGCCTCTGGGTGGACCAGAACCTCCAACCTTTTAGTTAGCAGCCTAGTGTGTTAACCATTTGCACCACCTGGGGACCCCAAGAAGAGTGTTGTCATTCTTGTTAGCTGCTGTTGGGTTGGCCCCTGACTTACAACAACCCCCTGCACAAAGGGATTGGA